ACTCTACTCTCAAGGACGTTGATGAGTAAAGAGTTAAAGGAAAAATTCACTAGCTAGAGATTAAAGCGAGGAAAGTGTACAGAGATTTTTCCGTGAAGAACTTCTGCAAATTGCGGAGTGATCGCTCGGAACTTCGGTCCTGAGACTCTCAGGCTGAGAGTGTCATCACCGCACAAACTCTGCTACGGCATGCGGCTACGCTTTCTGTACGGCAATTGTCTCCACTTATGCAGCGTAGCCCACGCTGCGTGGGAAGTTCCCGGCTTCCCCACCACCAAGAACCGATTTGGAGTTTATTTATTGTGAGTATGTCAATGCTTGCCCTTGATAGTATCCCTTCCATTGGAGACGCTATTGACGACGCTAGTGTGCCTGGACTGGACACCTTCGTCGGGCGTATCCTCGATGAACGTGGGTACACTGGGGAGTTTCGTGGTCCCAACGTGCCTACTTGGAAGGTGGGCAGAGTTGTCCACGTTCTCGGAAGCCCACCCAAGACCGACGCTTTGGCTGACACCACTAGCTATCGCAACTACATTATCGCTAGCGATAAGTGTGTCAATGTTAGGCTTGGCCGTTCTGTTGAAGGATTGTACAACATTGTGCAATCGTCTTCAGCCATGGGTGTGGAAGTGGGCGCGGACACCGGTAGGATTAGCGCCATTACAACGCGCTACAACTTAAGGGCCCCCATTGAAGCGGGGGTGGCCGTGGAGCGCCTCTCTTCGACTGGGGAGTCGAAGATGTCCGCCGAGAGCGCTACTAGGCAGCTGGGGCTCGTCAGCGAATCCAGTACAGCTTACATCTGGACCGGAGTTAGCCTCAACTATTTAACATGCATCATGGGCAACGGCGAGGCTGCTCTCGGGCTTGAATGGCGTGCCATCTTACCCGAAGTGGACCGCTGGACCTACGAAAATCATTTGAGGCAAGTTTCGGCTCACGCTGAAGACCTGATGAGTGGGAGGATGGTTATGCTCCATCTAACCCGCTCGGAATACGAGATTTGTGGTGGTATTATGAAAGTGCTCTTTGCAAGTCGGCCCTTCGAGACTGATTTCAATGGAAGAGAGATACTACCGCAACGCGTGAGCTGGAGTCCTCCTCGCTTAGCATTGATACTCAACGATCAGCCAACAGGCGTGGTTTTACCAGCCGTACCTGTGTTGGCTGGGTACGACCCACAGGAGCTCGGAGAAGTTGGACCCATATCTGTTAAGACATGGGACATCTGTAATATTCACGAAGGTCAGAGGCAAGAAGCTCAGTGACTTCCTCCGTATCACCAACGAGCGCTTGCGAGAGCTGGAATACTGTTCTGTCGACCACCACTCACAGCTACATCCGGTACACATCGCTTTTGCTCTGCAAGCATGCCTTGGTGACCCCTCCACGGGGTGGTGGTACGACGCATGCAAGGAGCGGGGTGGTTCCGACCAGGTTACTACATATGAGGATATTCGCACGGTTATGCGCAGTCTACAAAAGAAGGCCCATGCACTGAAACAACGACGTTCGTATGGCTACAACGGTGATGGTCACTATGTTGGTCATTCGCCTCAAGGTCAAGTCTTCTATGCCGACAACAACAAAAACAGTCGTCATGTTCCACTACTACCACAAACTACATCAGAGCCGTCAAATCAGCCTCAGTCTGGTCAGCAGCAAACCTTCCCTAGGTCTGACGATCGAACAAAAGCTCCGGTAAAAACCGCACAAGACCAACACGGACAAGAACAGAAGAAGAAACCTATCTGTCTGAGGTGTTATGATCGTACTGGTAGTCACAAGGAGGATACTTGTACGGCCACCAAGCCTAAGAACCAGGAGTCAAGATGTTTCTGTGGTAGTGGACGCCACAAAAAGGAGCAGTGCCCAGTACCGAGCAAGAAGATCATCTGTACAAGGTGCAATAATGACACCAGAGCTGGCCCACCACATAGGTCTGGCATGTGTCCATTGACCTTAGAGCTGTTGCAAGAGACCAACAACTGTAAGCCACCAGTCGCCCATTTTGTTACTCTCTCAGGCGGGAGTATCCCGACTGGCAACGGGCCAACACCACCAACGGGGCCATCGACCTTTGCTACCCTACCTCAGCCACAACAAGTGATCAGCACTACTTTTGGTACCGAGGGATGCTTTGCGATCGGTGACTACCATGACAAGGGTGCCGACCAATTCATGGAAAACGGTTCCCAACCGGTAGCGACCAAAGTGTGTGTGTCGCCTCATCTGTTAGCCGATGCCATTCTGGACTCTGGCGCTGGTAGATGCTACGGACAAGAACGATATCTGAGGTGGTTGGCTACCCAAAAAGGCGTCGAGATATCCTGGAACGAGGGTGCTGGTGTCAACGCTGTCGGTCCGGTGGGAAACAGTCTCAACGTCAGTGGTACCTGCAACTTGGCAATTTGGCCGCAACAGCAACAACGACGAGAGTTTAGTAAGTACAAGGTCAAGATCAAAGTCTACGTTGTAGAAAATCTCATTCCACAGCTCATCATTGGTGTCAGTGGTCTACGTCTGTTACGTGTAGGACTGATATTCGGTCCGGATGGCATCCAAGGATACTCTGCTTTGGCGGCTCCCGATCGAGAAGAAACAGAAGATGGTCATGTCGTGAACAAATACGTTGCTGAAGTCGGTGATGCCGAGGCTACCGATGTTTGTTCTCACCATCCACACAACGGAGTCAACTCTCACAGCAACGACGATCCGACCTGCCTCTTCGACTCGGTCAACTTCATTGAGATAAAGGAGAGTCCCACAGACGACTACACACAAGATTCGCTCATACCAGCGCAGGTGTCAGTGCAAGTTCATCCTTCATTGTCATTTAGATCTATCACCAAAACTCTCACCAAAGGAGAAGGTCTATCATTGGAAGAAGCTCTGGAACATCCATTGGGTACATTCCGTGGCTTGATGGTAGAGTCAGAGAACTCCGATGAGAACAACATCACATATCGAGCTCTACACGACTTCAACTGGACAACCAGGCCAGCCCCGTCCGAGAACAACAAAGCTGCAGCAGAGAGACATGCTCGGAAGCTCTTCGCCAGTCTCACGAAGAAGAAGACTCAAGAGGCCTACACCGATGTTATTCATCAATACCACAAGCTGGGCCATATCGAGAAGATTCTGCCAGCAGAGGTAAGCTGCTTCCACTATACCCCTCATTTTCCAGTCGAGAAGCCTGGAAGCAACAGATCTACTCGTATTCGACCGGTGTATGATTGGAGGAGATGCAACCCGCTCCAGAGGCTACCACCCCCACAAGATACGACTACGTGGCCCAGTCTATCAACGACTCGTCTCTACCCATGGGTAGCATGGAGCGACTTGAAGAACGCCTACCTCTTCGACAGAACTCCAAAGGCTACAAGGAGAGCTCATGGTTTCATGATCTCTGAGATGGACGAGGACGGGTCGGCTACGCTACAGCATTACCACTTTAGGGGTCTCCCCATGGGTTCGAGCTCATCTGCTTCGGCGTTGCAGACAACAACGGGTATTCTAATAGAACTTGCTAACGAAAGGTCGGCTAACGAGCTCTTGAACGGTGCCGACACTGCAGATACACCTATATGGAAGGTTCTGGTCGACAACGTGGTCAACGAAGAAGAGCTT